CTGTACCCATTGGTTATAACATACTACAGTAAAGAAAAGGGAGTGATAATTACTTCATTGATTTCTATTTTAGAATGCACGAATAATACAGGAGAAGGTATTTTTAATTGTATAAATGAAAACTTTAAAAACAAAGGTTTAGAATGGAAAAATTGCTTATCATTTTCTTCAGATAATGCTAGTAATATGATTGGAAAGTTTAAAGGTGTAGGTAACATCATTTATCAAAATGCATCAACCAAGTATAATCACCCGAGGTTGTCCGTGCCACCTCTTGTATATAGCTGCAAAAAAAGCTACTGAAAAATTAATTGGCTCAGAAATTGAAATGTTGATAATAGATATATATTTTTACTTGGAGAAAAGTTCGAAACGGAAGCATAGCTTCAAAGTTGCTCAACAAATTTTGGGACAGAATGCAAAATCTCATAAAATTTTGAAATATTGCAGTACGAGATGGTTGTCTCTTTTAGAATCTATAACAAGGATTTTGGAACAGTGGGATGCTGTGATAAATTTTTTTGGAGATAAACCAGATAACAGTGAGAATGAAGGAAAGAGATTGCAAAACATTAAAAAAATTTTACAGTCACCGACCACCAAATTGTACTTCTTATTTTTGAAAAATACTTTGCCTTTGTTTATAACAGTAAATATTAATTTGCAACAACAAGCTCCTTATATACATAAATTGAGAAGAGAACTTTTTGAACTTTTAATGAATTTATTTGTTAGATTCGTAAAACCATCAGTAATTTCTAAAGAAAAGAAGATGTTACTCTAATGTCTATTCCATTTCAGAAGTATAGTAAACAAAAAGAAAATGAAAATTTTAGTGATTGGTGCGGAAACAAGCTATATTTAAAAAATGCCAAGTTGAATGAAAGTGAAGTGAAATCATTTTTCAATTCTGTGCGAGCTTTTTTTGTAACTGCATGTTCATATATAATTGATAAATTTCCACTGAGTGATCCATTTCTAAAAACATGCTGAAGTTGCTGACATCAACTTGAGAACTGAAGTCTCATTTTCATCTGTTCTTTACTTGATGAATACTTTTCCATCCATTATTGATGAAAAATGTCTTAATCAAGTAGAAATTGAATTTTCCATGTATCAAGTAGATGATTTGAAAGAAAATTGTAGATTTGCGTATTGATATAGCATGGGGAGAAATTGCCAAATTAAAAAATATGAATGGGTGTATTAAATACAAAGTATTGCCTTCTGTAATGCTTGCTGTCTTAATAATAAATACCTCATTCAAATGCAGCTTGCGAAAGAATTTTTTCTATTGTTAAAAAAAATCAGACGGAATTTCGACCAAATTTAGGTCTTAAAAACTCTTGAAGCAGTTTTGATTAAAAAAATAAATATGCAGGCAAATGAAGAACTGTGTTATAAAAAAACATTCTCAAAATCAGAACTTAAGCTTGCTACATATAAATCTTTGCATTCATAAATTATGCGCATTTTGTTTAATACTTATATGTATCATTCTTGGTTATTTAAATTTTATTTCCCTGTAGAAATCATATCCAGAATAAAGATATGATTTATAGCTTCTGATTTTTTCTATGATTAGTAGTGATTTGAAGTACTTTTTATTAGTGAATGCTTGAGGAGTTAAAAGAAAATTTCTAATTAAATGTGCATATAATTTACAAGGTATATTTTTAATTATTCAGTTTTATATGTATATAGATTTTAAATGTAATAAAATTGATTACAATTAATTATTAATTTAAAATTAATGAATGGTTAATTACAACATACGCTATGCGCACATTTTCAAAGTTGTAAAAATGTCGTTCGCGCGTTGACTACTGACAAGGTTTGCTGAAGGTTGGAGTCTATGAATACATTTAATTTAATATTTAACTGATTTATCTAATTTATTTTATTTGTAATATAACGTGAATGGATAATTTTGCATAAATTATTTATTCTATATAAAATGCTGACATAAGGTTATTTTAATATAAAGAGCAAAAATAAATCTATAACGATCGGTTTAGTTCATCAACATAAAATGTAATGTGTGAAATGAAAGTTTTTTTTTTTTTTTTTAAATAGTAAATTCATGTATATTTGATCTTTTAAAATTTTTAACGTTACTTGCGTGATAAATATTCCATTTGCATGATCTTTACTGCATTTATATGAAGACCATATTTTTAAACATATTTAACTATTATTGTGGATAATTGTAGAAATTAATGGTCAGAATTTAAAAGAGAAGTATAAACGGTAATAATGTCGGAGTTATATATATCATAATCTAAATACTAAGGTGAAAAAAGTATGAAGATTAACTTAACCACATCAATAACAAAATTACTTCTATGTGCATTGTTTACCTTTTTTAACGCAAATGCGTTACTGTATTTAGCCTCAGGCGATTTTCGCCTAGCACGGGTTTCTCCCCTATGTCGGGCTCAAGAGGGAAATTTTGTAAAGCGTCTTTTCACGTCATTTCCCTCTTGGCGTCAAAAAAATCCTTCCGAGGATTCAAGATGGCGGAAAAAATTGCGCCAAGTGCCGGTTATCTGAGTCTTCCCCATTTCTGGTCACCAAGCCAAAAAATCGCCAATGGGGTCCTGTACTCAAGCTGTTCCCAAAGCAACATTTTGTTTTTCAGTTTAATATAGTTAATATAATTTTAATTTTTAAGATAGTTTATCAAAGCAGGTAAATAAAATGTTTTGCCAGTTGAGGGTTTGTAGCTGATACAGTAGCGCTTGGCGAATCCTTTTTTTAACACCAAGATTGGCACCAATTTCAAGGTGGTGCCGATCTTTCCACCCTCCCTACGAAAAATCAAAACAAGAAATCCAAACACTTACAAAAACTCAGTGTCCATGTACACATCAGCCTATTTTAAAAAATCAGACAATTGTACAAAATAGGCATTGTTCACTAATTTAACTATATCCATGTGTACATTGACCTATTTTAACTTAAAAAATATCAGAGAATTGCACAAACTAAGCATTGTGCACTAATTTAGCTTTCTCCGTGTACACATCGATCTATTTTCACTTAAGGAAGTCAAAACTATTGTGTAAACCAGAAAGAATTTGCTTTTGTCTTATCACACAGACATGAACAAATAACCAGAAATACATATTTCCCAACATAAAGACATTAAACAAAAAAATCTTTTGACAAAAATTAACATGCAGACTTCATTAAATAAATAGTCAATTCTTTAACATACCTTTTACATAACATACATACATTAACACCTCCCACCAGCATCTCGTCCATGTAAGCAATTCAATTAAATATCTGGTTATTTCAGCTCATCCGCTGTTAATAGCGGATAACTACCTATAATAGCATCTTTTACTACAATAGATAATAAAATGTAAATTTTACGCGACTTTCTTGCCAAAAAATACATTTTCATTAACAAGTATTAATACCAAGCTGCTTTTATCAAGCCAGAACTTTTAGCATTTTAACAGTCTTTCAACAAAGAAAACGAACCACTAATTCTTTACATTAACATTACATTCTTAGAATACGCTGTATCTTTGTACTTTCGCCAAATAAAACTAAGCTAACTGAACTGAGGCAAATTGACATTACATAGTAACTTCATATTTTGATTTTTCATGTACTAAAGTGACTCATTAGCATATTTAAAATTGAACTGAATAGATAATATGAGAGTGTAGAGAAAACTGAATAATTAATTAATTTGAAAACAAAAATGCAACTAAAAGCTACGTAATAATTGGTGTTGATCAGAAATTAGTTGAATTGTTGATGGAAACAAACTAATATCCGATAAATTAACAATAGTTAAAAGAAGCAAGTGTTTCGGCTTTGCATGACCAGCTGCGGCGGTACAAATGCTGAAAGCGTAGTGAGGTGTGCTACCTAAAGTTCCAAATCAGCAGCAGTAGCAGATTTACTTGCCTCAAGGGTCACAACAGCCATATTCACATGATAATGTGATGCAAGCCTAGTAATTTTATCAGCAACCATAGCCAATTTACTCAAATCTTCTTCACCAAGAGCAGCCGATATAGACTGAACTGTTAGGAAGCCTTGCAAGCCACGAAGACCTTACAAGAAAGCCATAAATACATTTTTTCGCCCTGCTTCTTCTTGTACCACACATAATTGGCTGAATAATAGTGCAAGCTGTCCTTTGTTTTTCTCCAGGCTACACCACGTGTAATTTCACTCCATGTACCTTCTGTTTTATGTGCCCCTTTCAGCAGTCAGAAATTATAATCGTATTCGGAATAATTACTCATTTATAACAGGCTAACTTTCAGATGACCTTTCAGGCACCACCAAACATTACAGTGCTGTGCAACCAGACACGGCAAATGAAAATCTCTGGTCCATACAAAAGGGTTAATATTACAAAAAATAGCCATAATCTCAACTTATCACAACCCATTTGGCAATATTCACACAATTTTCTCCAATGCTAGTTTCGCTAACATTATCAACATTAGGATTACCAAAAAAACCTATTTCATGCAGCGGGCTTCCAGATTTCATGAAAAACCAAAGCCACTTGGTGATTTTTTTCAGTCAGAAAACAAGTGAAACCATACAGTCGATATCAACCTAGCTGATATTCTGGGATGTAAGTAGCATGCATTTTGGCTGTAATCAGATTTAGTGACTGTGCTCTATGACTTAATATGCGTGTAAAATCTTAATTGTTTAGTATATTTAAGAAAGATTTGATGAATAAAAATTTATATTTTAAATTTAAAAAAAAAAAAAAAGAAATCGAGTGAGTTACATGTACGGATTTTGTTTTTATACTAAAAGGATTGTACGAGTAAAGCATAAAACTGGAGATGCTTATTGTTCATCCTATACATTATAAAGTCATCAGTAATGTTTTGTATTAATAAAACTGAGTTGCATAGTAAGGTACAATCAGTAATCATTGTAAAGAAATGTGTATTGGTAATTTGTTGGTATTTTCCTTTTCACAGATTTTTTTTTCCCTTATATTTTTACAGAGGAAATTTTATCCTACAGAAGATAAACCTAGATTGAAGAAGACTCGCAAAATGGTTCCATTTAAGAAGCATAAGCGTTATTTGCGTAAAAGTATAACTCCTGGAACTGTGCTAATCTTACTTGCTGGCAGACATCGTGGTAAGGTAAGAAAACATTTTTTTAAACGCGAATCATTAATTGCAAAGTTCAGATATATTTCATGTGTGTTCCAACTCTTCTCTTTATTGAAATTTTGTGTCTTAATATAGCAAAAGCAGCGTATTAAAATTTAATGCATTTTTTCCATGTGCTTGGGCAGGATTCATCTATCGAAACAACCCTACGAGTAGCAAGGCTAGATCTGCTTATGAAAACTGCATTTAAACAGCTTTTATTGGCCCAATTTGTATAATTGTTAGTCTCTTTTTATAAATTTTCATTCATTGAGATAATATTTAGGTCATTAAAGAAGGTAAAGTATTTTAAATAGTAAGGTAGCATCTACATCAAATGGGTAGATAAAGGTGGTCCTGCCACTTAGGGAATTAAAGATTATGATGTGCTGATTTTGGCCTTTTGCAGATGAGAGGTATGCAGTATCAATTGCAGCTGATTAATTGCTATTTTTTAAGATCATAATAGGCTGTAATTTTAAAAAATGCATGTCTGCTAAAATTTTTTATACTTTTTCAAAATTCTATGTTGTAAAATGATTTTCACTTTTTCGTTGCTATTAATTCGTTTCCTTTCATTTAGAGAGTAGTTTTCTTGAAGCAGTTAGATACTGGATTGCTCCTTGTTACTGGTAAGATATTTTTTTAATATGTATTTTTCTAAAAGCTTTAAAAATATTCAAAATTATTTTCATATATGTGAAAGAAAGTTAATGAAAACATTGAGAAGAAAGATTATGTACTATGTGAGGAATGTTGAAATTTCTTGAAAAAGGTCTCTCTTTTAACAGTAGTGTTTTTTTATTACTTTAATGCTTTAATGTGTATTTTTATCCACTTCTGGTAAATAGTCAGTCACTGAAAATTGCAGAATGTTTTTGACCTTTTAGCTGGTAAGCAGCCTCATCATGTTAAATTTTCAGTACATGTTAAATTTTCCCAGGTTGGGGGGGGGATAATACACTAAGATAATCTCCCATCTTTAGCTTAAAATCCAAGAACACTAAATAAATAAATACTATGACAGCTATTCCTTCATTTGTATCATGACTTGGTAGTTTACAAAGTAACGCATTAACAAAACGTAAAATGTCACCTTTGTGCCTGAGAATATATTTTGATTTTGCAAATCAGGTAAGGAAACCAATAACCTGATTCCTAATTTGTACAATCCCACAAGTAATTGAGTGGTTAAAGACAGCTGAATGCTCAGTGTGTTCCAGAATCCGACTATGAACAGGCTGACTGCTTGGTTGCTTTTCATCATGTGTAACGAGAAAGCAAGTCACTTTCCCTTTGAAAGTTCCTCCGTGAAGGCATTCCTTCTCTTAGACTAGTAGCTGTCGTGGGGTTTGCCATGTTTAGGTAACTGGCTAACCTAATTTAAACATAATTGATTTCTTAAATAGGAAAAGCCAGAAAATGTATGGTTGTAATTATACAGTTAGGAGACATATGAGAAATATAACACCAATGATTGAATTGCCAGTGCTCTTTCTAAACTTAAATTATCATTTGTTAAACTGACTTAATTTGTACTTTTTGATGGAGTTGAGAGAAAGAATAAAGTCCATGTGTTAAAATCTTTTATTGATATAAAATTGGCAATTTATATGCAGAAAACAGGGTTGAAATGCTACCGGGAAAAGTCGGGGAATTCGAAAATTGACTAAAAAGTCGGAATTTAGATCTGAAAAAGTCAGGGAGTGTCGTACGGCGATCCCCCAAAAGGCGAGTTTTGCGCCAGTGTTAGAAGCGGGTGTCATTCGGGCAGCGTGTGTAGAGCCAATGTTCACAGCTCCAATCAGATGGTCTTTTAGAAAAGCAAAGCAAGTTTCCGGCAAGTTTGGTTTCCAGTAACCTCGAGAATCCTGAGACTTGCATGTGCAGGTTATTTTGAACTAAAGTAAATACCCTCCCGTTCTCGTATACAACAAAATTGGTTTAATCCTAATATACAGTACCATGGATGCTAAAATAGCTCCCATTTACTCTTCTAATGTAAGAATGTCTATGTGAAGAAAGAAGGGTTCCATAGACGTAATGTAAATCTGTTTGCTAGAATGCCTCTAAAAAGCGGAGGGAAAAACTCTCCAAGGGATATGGCGACGGAACCAGACGGCGAGAATTTCCCCCTCCGCATTTTCATACTTTTTTGCTAAAAATAGCTAATCTATTGATTAATTTACTCGTGCAAAAAATATTTTTGTTTCGTTTAAAGGGAATTTAAAACAATGTTCGTTTTATGTACTCTTGACCTTCGAACTTTGTGAGCTTCGCCGATAGATATTTCACGCATACACAGTTGTTACCCTCTACGTTGGGACAGAGCCATTCCTGTTGCAGAGAAGTTTTTTTTATCTTAAATATTTTTTTTATTCTAACCTCAGTGTACGGTACACATGGGATTTGGCGACATTATGATGAGCAGTAACAACAGTTACTTTCTCTTTCTCTTAGTCTCTTTTTAAGATGTTGGGTAATAAACTGGTCATTTTGGTTTTGGCGGCAGTTTTTAAAATTGTACAAAGGCCACAGCGAAAACTAGGATTTTATTTTCCATTTTAATAAATGTCTTATTTTTCATTTAAAAAATAAGTAATCAGTCATCTAGGCTGTTTAATGTTCGCCAAAATAGCATTGATTATTGTAATTCAATTTTTAAGTAATTAACTTCATTTTAATGTTATTTATATCATTTAATGTTCTTTCCTCTAAATTTATTATTAGTTAATAATACTTTGAAATTTCTCTGGCATAATTCTGAAACTAAATCTAGCAGTGTGATGACAATACTATCACGAAATTTAATGCGCATATTTTTGTTTATGTATGCTGCTAAATAAATATAAAATACCTGAATTTATTTTAAAATATCATTAAATAAACTTCTTTCGTTTAGCTGCAAAATGTTTGCAAAAAAACTCATTTTTTAATTCAGATTGGGCAGATTCTAATCTCAATCTTCAATGGAGAAAACAACTCCTATTATAGCTATAATAGTAATGCTTTCAAGATTATATATATATATACTAAGTCATATGCAATTTTCAAATTTTTGTGTTTTCAAGTGATACCATAATTAATTTACCTCTCAACTAGCCAATGCGATAGACTGGAATTTTCTCAAAAGACACCTGGTAAAGTCAGGGAATTTCATTCTCTTTAAGTGGCAACCCTGAGAAAAGAACTTTTAATTCCATTTTGTGAGGTATTTTTCAAGAATTTTAATAAAGCAATAAATGTAACAAATAATAATGTGGAAATGAATGTACCAGTAAAAATCATTTATTATATTTCTAATAAGAGGTCAGCTTTTGGCAGTTATATTCTAAATCAGAATTTGAATCACATACTGAGAAAAATGGGTATTTACGTATTATTGCAACCTTAATGGAATTCACCAAATGGAATATAATTAATAGAATACTGATCTACAATTAGCTATTCTTCAAAACCAGCAACACACTCAACACGTGATATATGATGACACGAGTATTCAGCCAATCATCGGATGAATTAGTTGGTTCCATTTTGCGTACTGGTTCTCCTACTCTGTTTCTGTCAAAGCTGTATGTGAGTAAGCAGCTTTGGTTTCAGTAAAATCCGTAGTTTTTTCCACACTTTTCGTAGCTCGTAGTTTATCATGAATTTCCGTAGAAACTACGGATTCTCCGTAGTAGTTGGAGTCTGTGTTAGCAGAAAAGGTTGCCTTACTCTTGTTATTCAATTACTAATATAAAAAAAGTTTAAACATCACTGCATGAGTTATTACAGAAGCTGTCATGTATTGATAAACATGTGGTGTTGAAAGCAAAATATAATAATGACTCACCAAGTGGGCATCAGGGATGTAAAATAGGTGAGTGTTTTGGTTTGAGATGTAATGCCAATCACACACTCAGCTGCATAACCAAATTATTACTCTCACAAATGTATGCTTACATGATTGTTTTTTCATAATGATGTATTTTATGTAGTGCCCAAGTGAAATTAAGAATTGGAATTTTTAAGTGAAAATCTCCACTTTGAAATCCGGATTTTAGGTCATTCCGGATGATGGATGTCCGAATTTCTGACTTTGTACTGTACTAACATTTATTTCCTGCGTATGTCTCATCAGAGCCTCAAATATTAGATATAAATGTCTATTTATTTATCTGCAATTAAATCTGTTTTTTAATTAATTATTTAATAACATGGTATGCTTTGTTGAGTTCATGCCTTAAGTAGAGATACTATTAATATATTTCAGGTCCATATAAGTTAAATGGCTGTCCACTTAGAAGAATAAACCAGATTTACTGTCTTGCTACGAGCACCAAATTGGATATCAGCAATGTAAAAATTCCTGAGCATTTGGACGATTTGTATTTCCGGCGAACAAAGCCACAGAAAAAGTCTAAAAAAGATGAAGAAGAGATTTTCGACACCAAGAAAGAGGTTTGAAACTTTTATTTGTTTTTATAAATTTAATTTGTATTTGTAGTATAGCTATAATCTCATGTTAACATGTTTGATCTTAAAACTAAGAAGTAATTGAAAAATATTTTATTGTAAACTTAGTGTCTGCTATACTTTCTTCCTGGTCTCATTTCTTAAAATATGCTGTCTTAATTTTGATTTAAAAAAGACATGTTTTTAAGTTACTAGGAAGGATATAAAACCAGTAATATATATACATGGCCTACCATTAATTATGAAATATATACTAGTACTGGTTTAAGAGTACTAAAAAAAGGCTGTTTATCATGCTGAGCATTGTTCACCTCTGTTTTCTGATTTTTTTATTTATCTTGTATCTAGTCTGCCCATTGGAAAGCAAATCTGCATGCAGAAGTAATGCATTATTTTTCTACTTTATTTCATGTTTCATTATTGAAGGAATTGGAAACATGATAACTTTTAAAGAACCTGCTTCAGTAAAAAGCTCCCTGTAATAGAAATAAGATCTAGCTCTATAGTATTACATTTTCATCTTCAAATTAATATACATACATCTGGGTGCCTTATAATGAATGCATCATTCATATAGTAAGATATTGATTGTTCCAGACAAGAATTACTTCTGTTAGTTTTAGCCTAAAAAATGTCACACTTACATACAGATGCTCTCCCACCTTCAATTGACAAGTTAGTCCATATTCTCAACACAGCAATTACAGGACTTGAACAGTGGAACTTTGTAACTGAACAAGGAATGAACTTACATTAAAAGAAATGTTTAGTAAAGTAAAAAAATAAATATTAAGCTTTTTTTTTTTTTTTTGGTAAATTTTGATACCTTTTAGATCATAATTGCTCTTTATTTCATAAATTACGATTTCATATTTTTAGTTGTAAAATTTCTGCATGCCATCCTACCAGATTTAAATTGATGATCTATTATCCGAAGAACCCCTAATTCAGAACTGCTGAAGTCCCGACGAGTCCGGATTACGGACTGTGCACTGTAATGTGTTATACGTTAAGTTGCAAACAACCGCTTGTACCATAAATTCGTTCTTAAAATGTTACTAGGTTAGCTGTGCATATCTCCTAATTATACTCCTGGGATAAGAGTGGAAAATATTATAAAGTAAACTATTAAGACTTTAAAAACAAAATAATGCATTTTAAATACATAGCAAAGAATGCAACATTAAAAAATGTAAATAAACTTATTTTATTGTATAATGCAGCCAGCCTTGGATTCTCCTCTTTGAGGCATGTGTGAATGGAATAAGGATGAGTTTAGGTAGATCTTTATATAGGTAGGGTTTTCAATATCTGACCTGCCATCTGAAGACTCAGTGACAAATAAAGGGGACAATTTGTGATGAGAATGCTCTGAGTGAGAATTTTGGTATGTTCGATTAGTCAGTATCAGCAACTTCTGGAAAAGAAGAAGTTTATAAAAACTTGTCAGCGGGATATCTTATTCATTTGTCATAAATGAGACAGTAGCAATATATGGCATAGTGCACAGTAAACTTTGATTGCCTCTCAGAATTTGGGTTTTAGTTTTTTAGTTTTCCAGAGAAGTGAGGCTGCCTTTAAACTTGAACAATGCTATTAACTTATTTTACTTCTGCCAAATTTTTTAACTGAGACAAGCTATTCTTCATTCTTTCTGTTGCTCATGTGAATATGATCTTGTTTCTCTTAGAAAGTCCTCGAGGAGATCCTTCCGCTTTAGCAAGTGGTGTTCGCATGCTTTACCATATTCATATAACCAAACTCACTCTGAGATGCTTTAGGTGATTGCATTGGCAGTGCACTTTTCAAATGAGAATTATTCTTAAAAATGGTTCTGATCATTGTACAGTTAATACCATTCAGACATGCTTATATTTACGATTTTATTGCTACTTTAAAGTAGTCTTATCACAATGACTTTTGTTTCAAACAGAACAGTTTAATGCTGTTTTGCATTGTCACTATCATCACTTGACTTTCTCTTTCATCAACCATTTTTAATATTTTCTTTAGAATTCCAAACAAATTTCTCTGAGAATTGTTCATATCTTCAGTACTTAAAATGAAGACTGTACTTGCTGTATAACTTTGAATTTAAGCCACATAAAACTTAAAATTAGAAATTTGGAATAAAAAACTGCCACCTTCTAATATAAGCTCAGTAGAGTTTAAAATCAGAATAGTGAAATGTAAATGATTTAATGAAGTGATATGTTGAAAACGTAGAATTTACATTTAGGTAAATTTGTATCTCAGCTTTCTTTTTTGGTAATTAGATATTTTTAATACAGTTCTAAAGCAAGTAATTATGTGATTCAGGTATATATTCTAACTAAAGAACATATTTATATTCTGTGTTGGCTGGCAACAGTGAGTATTGTTTCTATTTTAAAAAAAGTTTTCACCTTGGAGAAGCTGAGTTGTATGTAAAGGTGTTTAATAGCTTCATATAAGTATTATTGAGGTATTGATTTTTTTATGATGTAGTCGTTGAGATTTTTCATGTGGCAGAATTAGTTTTTTTAATAAATAACAGTATAATGCCAAAACAAATGTTATACTTGGCCTACATCATCTCCATATTAAATAGTCATGATGTTTTGATCTTGGTGAAAATGAAGTTGCAAGTGGAAGTTTTACTAAATTTTCAGGATGTAAGCAAAAAGTCAGCTTTATATAAGTTAGAATGTGTTACTGATGTGTTCATGATATCTGTTTTAAATTATTGTGTTATTTTTAGCCTGCAAGAACTGAACCCCCTTTCAAATTACGTTTAAGTAAATATAACATTAAATGTAAGATTATTGTACTTCACCTGCATTATGATGATCTCTTTCTATATAAATTGAATAACCTTGATGTCCTTACCTTGGAGAACTGAGTTGCAGGTGGATATTAAGTAAATATTTACAGTCCAAACAAAACCTAGTTTTGTATATGTATTAATGATATGTTGATGTTTTGTCCTTTATGGAAATGTGTGTGTTTTGCATGACTGATATTTTTTAAATTTTTTAATGAATAGTATAATTGTTAGAAGTAGAATTCTTGTTCTTAGCCTGATCATGATAATTTTTCTTTGCTAAATAATCATGACATTTTTACCTCACTGGGTTGTAGCTGAAAGTTTTGTATCTTATCAGAATGTAAGCAAACACCAGCCTCACTTGAGTACAAACGATATGTTATAAATTTGCCCTTTTGATTATTTGTTTGAAGCTATTATGGTAATTTTCACCTTGGAGAAATTTTTTTTTAACCAATATTTGTAAATATGGACTCTGATATGCCCCCTCAAGTCGCCAAACATTTTTGGCAAGAAACTTCACGCTGTCATATTGCTATCTAAATTTTTGTCTACATTTCATACTTTAAGCCTAAAATGTCTCCAAAAACACAGTTTTCGCAAATGCAAAAAACCATGTTTTGAACACACAATTTAAGCTAAAAATCCAAAACAAAAAATTTGGATAGCAAAACCGTAAAGTTTCTAACCAAAATTATTTGACAAGAGTCCATGTACACAGCGATATGTTTTTAACTTGAAAAAACATCTACAAATGGCACAATCTAGGCAACGAACAAAACTACGCACACCTCACTTTAATAAATTAACATAACAATAAATATCAAAGAATACCATGTACACAGCATCCTGTTTAAACTTTAAAAAACATCTATGAATTTCACAATTTAGACGGTATGCACTAATTAACCAAAAAACCTAAAATAAATTTCAAACAATTGAAGAAAACAGCAATAAAAACAGAAATTCATATTAAAAAAACAATGAACATAACATTCTACAAAATAAGAACAAGAATAAAATAAAATGCACTTACCATGAATCAATGCTTTTCGAACAGCAGAAATACAATTTCATACTGCCATGTAATCACTATCGTATTTATATGACAACCAGACACTATCCAGAAAATTCATACTATGCTTCACAAATAAATAAAATAAATAATCACAAATCCCTACTTCTGTCATGCACAGCCACTAAAATTAATCTCCCAGACCCTCTTTCCACACCTCCAAATACCCACTGCCCCTCAACAGGATGGCCACAACGATATTTCCTTTTGCCGAACTTCAATTCAACAACTTCCACCATTTTAGCTTCTCAGACACAGAGCATGGCTCGAACCAACGAACTCCAGCAAAAGATTTTTCAACATCAACAGGGTTGCCATACAACACGCAATCGCGCCAAAAACCAGCGCAGAACACATATTGCCACATTTGGTGAAATTAGGGCGTATATCAGAGTTGTACCGTAAATATGTAGTGGTATATTCTGATCATGTGCTATCCGCCATGAATCCTTGAATTTTGCCATAGTAATATGCAAAATTAAAATTAATGGCTACTTCAACATTTTGGCATGAAGATCAAGGAAAACCCTTTTTCTCATGGTAATTTTGGGAAATTTGGGATTTATTTGTAAAACCTGTGTCATCTATTAATGTTCTACTATATCATGATTATCTTCTATCCTTATCTTGAATGACCATGATGTTTTTGGAGGACTGACTTGCATATGATTAACTTTATGGGATGTAAAAAAAGGCCAGCTTTGTATAGTTTTTAATGACAAATTTTTTGTCTTTCATAATTTCTATTTTCGGTAACTCTGTTTTTCATTTGGGAGACTTTTTCCAAGCAATTAATTTTGTGTAATGGTAAAATGCTGGAAATAAGGTTCTAGCACTTTTGATTAGAATGATTGAATAAAACATAAGTATTCAGTGGGTGTTACTGGTTTCTCTTGTTGATGTCAGAATTTTGATTTATTATGATAATTTTCACTTTATAGAACTGATCTATTTTAAATTATAAATAAGAAAACATATATATGTACATGTTACCATATACAAAGGAAACTAAGCCAATAATAACTTCTTAATCCAGGCATAAAGTAGGAGAGGCGTTTCGGCCTAAAAATAAAAATAGCTTTGTCTCATGCCACTTGGGGGGGG